TCTATGGTAGAACACTGTCATGTATGTGCTGTACAGCAGCAGCAAAGGCTCCCTGTATCTGACAGAGAGGTCAGTGAAAGAGATGCCTATTTTTAGTTGGCCTTTTCGAAGGAGGCTTGGCTCTTAAATGCCATTGGCTTCTTGCTCTTTTGAGCTTACGAACCAGCCATTACTGTACCGGAGCACAAATTACCAGATCATCAATCATGGCCCGGCAACCTCAAGTGTCCAAATACTATCCCTGTGCGTTCATGAAAGAAAGGGGCATGGTTTGAGTATTTCGGGAGAGGGGACGCTGGATGTTCCAGGTGCAAGCGGGTCTGTGATGTGGAATGATATTTTCATGATTTTATTGCAGCGGGGGATTATGGCCACCCTGTGTAAACACAAGGCCACACACAGTTTGAGGGGCATGAAGGTGATAAAGGCATGCATACTTATCCGTATCCGTCTTCACCACGACACTGCGAAACGACGTGCCACACTAATCTGCCCTTCACTGTCATGCTCCATGTAACCATCACTGAGGTCTAACAGGATGTCCACGGTAACCTGGGCTGTTTGTCTTGGAACAGTGACAAACCTCCAACGTCAAAGCGAGCAATCAAGCCCAATCTCAAAATCTTGGGCAGAGACGTAACTTCTCTGAAAGGTTGAGTGTTTCCAAAATGTACTGACGGCGGTGCCGTGACCCGCCTTCACAAGTCCATCTTTGCAGCGGGACTGTGGTTGCCTGTTAATTTGCACATTAGATTCAAAGGAGCACGTGTGACTTCAGTCAGCCTTTCATCACATACAGTCTCGGCTCTGAATGCTGGCCTGCCACCCATTTACCCAAATATTTACTATCTAAAAGGTGATATACTGCATGTGGAGCTAAGCAAGACCTTTAACTAACTGTCCCATTACTGTTGGAATATGTATATATATATATATATATATATATATATATATATATATATATATATATATATATATATATACACTATGTACTGTATTAATGTTTGTGTATGTGAGAGAGAGAGAGGTAGTGAGGTAAAGAGTCCTATCACATCAATGGTGGTCTGTTTGACATGGAGCAGAGCTAAAAGACCATTCAGTTGTCAAAATAAAGCCTGTGGAAGTGAACTGCGGGTCACTGCTGCCCTCTGAGTTGGTTTATTAGTGTGGTCTGTGTCGAGCAGTAGGCATCCTTTAATGTGGAATGCGGCGAAAAGGGCAACGAGGTCCTCTAATGCCGCTGCATGCGACGGTTCTGCTCACGTGCACCTCGGCATAGTGCGCAATGTCAATTTCGGGTGTGTGAAAAGTGAATAAAACAATTGCAGTTGCTTTTGGAATTACAGGGTGAGCCTCCGCAGTCTGCATTGTCCCCTGAAGAAGGGCGAGGTACCATCTTCTACACCCAAACACATGTGATGCCATTCCAGAAACGTATCTCCCGTTAGACGTCCATCTACCACGGCAGAGCGCAAAGGGAGCACTACCCGGGGGGAGGGCACGACGTCCATCACAAAAGCCCCTTTACACCACGCGGCGCCAACCACAACCACAAACATCACTCATTGTGTCTCCATTTGGAAGCCTGAGGGCTGAGGCATCTGTCTCAATCTGGTCCACCCTTTTATTCTTCTTCCACGCCACCATTGGGACCTTTGACCCGGAACTTAACTGAAAACAGGAACGTGTACTTCCAGCGGTTCGTCGTGTGAGAGATCGGGAGCATGTTGCATGGACACAATAATAACAATACGGGGTTTTCTTTTTGTGTGTCTGATCATTAGACGGCCGAAGAGGTGACCAATAAAATCATGAATGTATCAACAGTTGATGACTTGCCCCCATGGGAGAGAGACAGAAAGAGAGCACACACAGCTGTTTGATAGGTTGTCTGTCCAGGATTTTCTTTTTTTTAATTTGTTACGTCCCTTGACTTCATATTGTCTCTCGGCGTTTTAGGAGAAAGCTCGGGGAGAGTTTCACGCCGGCTAAGCCTCTCCAGCCGCTGATGAGCCGATCAGCGACGCCTCTATTATCGCCTCTCTCGTCTTTCAGCAGCAAGCCAGGTCCGGTGTCTGAGACCCACCGTGAGCGTCTGTAGGGCGTCTCTGCCATTTATTTTAACATGCTTTTGTTCTCCTGTTTTGTGGCTACACAGGACGCTCAGTATTGTTTCTGTTTATTTCTAGTAGGCAAGCAGAACTCTTATTTTCTAGTTAGTGGGGGGGTTGTTTATTGTTTTGGCCTTCGAGACCCTGATGTCATGTGTTTATTAAGCTGGAAACCGTTCAATAAAGAACTAGTACTAAACCTCGCGTCATGTTATGGTTTCTGTCCCGTCTTTACCACAGCGAACTTAGTCCTCGGCCCTTTATGGCCATTCACCTAGACATTGCAAAAGGCCGTAACATGATTATTTCAGTTTCAACTGACTAGTCCGCTGTAGAGCCTTTTCACCGTTAGATGATACATCAAGTGGTCTGCTGTGTTCAACCAGCCAGGCAATGTATAGATTAGGATTTCAATCATGCGTCGGAAACGCCGGCTCATTTTAGAATGAGGCAGAATGTCTGCCAGCTGGTCCATGGTGCATTTATCAAACACCTGGAACCTCAGACGTTTTGTTCGACTGGACACAATAAATAGAAATGAACAATGTGTGCCCAGCTCAGTGTCATTGGTTTAGTTAGTTTTTAGAATCATCTAAAATCATATATTGTTTGAATTCATTTCAATCAGGAGAGACTTCTGAACTTTTAACAATGATTTATCAAAACCAGCACAAGTATTAAAGGTGCAAAGTTTGGCTTGGACTCTACCCAGCCGTAGGATGGATCGGGGGCCGGGATGCACAGATGAGATGAGGCACCTCCCCCCTGTCTGGGAATCCAGACACTGGTGGTGGAGAACAAGTCGCTCCACTCTTCTGATATGCCAGATTCCCCTGCTGATTGGAGGTGTCTGGGGTGGCGGAGGGTTGCGTCTGGTGCTTGCTGAAATGAAACTGACGGCAACAGACAAGAGAACAGCGATCGGTTTACGGAAGCAGCTTATGCCGTACCCACATATAGCCAGTCTTCCTGACTGAATTTACGCCTAAGCTGGATGTTTCTGGCTCGCTGGCTTGGACATTGCTTTTAAGTCTAGATGATCGGGTGGTAGAATTGGTGTATCCAGTCAAGGAGGAGGCACATGTACAATTACGTCTTCCATAGCTACTATAGGTACTGATCTTTCTCTGACTTTAACATGGAACCTTTCTATTTGATATCATATTTGTATGTTCTATTCTTTCATTTCGTTCTACAATGGCCACAGTATCGAAGTGGCCAGAAATGTGTGGCCAACTGTGGTGTCTGCAGCATGATGCCGTGATTTAGGCCAGGAGCCTCTGCTTCGCCCGCTTCTTGGCCTAAATAAGTATAATCATTTATTTGACGAGGACAGCGGTGGCTGCACCCGACTGAAGCTTCAAGAAGTCAGAGAGCTGCGGGTGATGTCCCATGCGCAACGTTTTCTCTCCCCACAGCCTGTGTGGCATACGCCGAGCTTAAAGCACCCGAGTGTGTTTACAGTCGCAGTGGTATATTTTCATTGACTGGGTCGATCTCCATTAGCATGCTAAGCCCGAAGGAGGAATCGGACCACACCCAGAGAGAGAGAGAGAGCGAGAGAAACGTAGGTCATGTGCCAACCCAATGTGATCCCTGCCCACATGGACGGGCGTCCATCAGGATCCTCGACATGCCGGTCAGGTGTGCAGCCCACCCACGGACTCTCTCTTTCACACACAGGCTCAGCGACTGGTGTCATTTTACAGCCAGTTTGCCGACATCGGTTGAGCTGCTGTGAAGTCTCCTGTAAATCAAACTGACTGACAGAAGTGATTACAAAAAGATCAGGTTCAAATCGAAATGACATCCTGTTCTCATTTCCCCTCGAGGCCAGATGTGTATCATCACACTCCCCCCCCCCCCCCCCGCCCTCAACTCTCCCTTTCTCTCCCTCATCGCACACACGTTTCTGTGCCTTTTTCTTGGCTCGGCGAGACTCCGACGAGTCACCGGGCCGGTCTTCCACCGCCGGCTGCTTGATGCAAAGGATAAAGAGAAAAGAGATTTGAGTGAGTCTCACTTCCTGTTACGAAGGTGGAGGCAGCGAGCGGCCAAGTGCCCAGAGACACTGCGCTTCACCCGAAGACTGAAGATAACAGTCGACAAGGTGTCGCATTTCTTTCTCTCGTGCATGCATGTCCTATTCATACGAATAAAGAAACAATATTTAGAAAAGAAAACCTCTTGAGATGCGATACCATGCAGCCCATTTCCTGTATGGAAATTCTTTGATTATGAGACATCCATATCCTCTGAGGGACTATGTAAATACATTAAACATATATAAGGACCACAGTCAGACTTAATGATGAAAATGAAAGAGGGTCTACATGTGTTACTTCATCATGAAATAATGTAGATAATCAATTTCCTCTTCCCTGCTTGAGAATAGCAGCTCCCGGTGGTTGTGTGTGTCACACAACATTATAGCCTACCTCTGATTCCGCCTCAGCCATTTTATCCGAAAATGTGCGCAATGCTAAATTGTTGCAGGAAGGGAAATTGTACATGTAACTGCAAAATTAAAGATTATAGAAAATAACCATGATTCTTCCTCTTGCTGGGTAATCAGGGTCCAGGTCTGGTTTCAGGACAGGCACGTGAGTATTGTATTTTTAAAGGATTATTTTTAATATTCACAATAAACCGTCAACACATTTCTGAGTGGTGTAAATCATTTGGGTGCATTACAGGAGCGGCTACAACTTCTGGTGTTTGCACCTCACTGGACCAAAAGCTGCTGCATCTGTTGAGGCTCGCTCAGCTCAGAATGGAAACGCCTTCCATCTATTGTTGGGTGAGCGGCAGAACTAATTCCTTCACAGTCCTCTGGAAGTCCCATTGACTGAGGCGCGCTGCCCCCGCTGCCTGGCCCGCTGTACCCCGGCACACCTCCCGCACTGGGCTGCTGCTGAATAGAACACTGACTTCACCCAATTCAGCAGTTAGTTAGGTCGCCCGGTCTGGTCCCACCCACATCTGAACAGCTTTTGTTAGAAGAGGGGGGAAAAAAAGGCCTTTTCAGATTTCTTTTTTTTGCCTCCCCCCTCCCTCCTTCCCTCCTTCCTTCCCTCCCTCCTCAGCATCAAGTGCAGCCTGAGCGGAGCGTCCCAGCTGCGACTCTGTGTCTCTCAGCAGAAGCAATGAGGAGAAGGGAGCCGTCACCCTGCTGATACCAGGACGTCTGGGATCATATTTGTATATTTCTAGGGAAAATAAACAATACACTGCGGATTTGGCATATCCATCAATCGGATGCAAGCAGGTAGGAAGCATTTGTCATTTACTGCCAGACCTTGATGGAACCATGAGGGAAGTGTGCTCATAGTATTTTTTTCCATTTTTTTCGTAGATGTATTCAGTTTTCTAATAGACTTTAGTTAGTTTGTTGTTTCTGGATGGACGGACCCCAGAAGATTTATTCGGATTGTTGTACAAACCATTTATTTTTTAACGCTTTAAAAAAAATCTGTTTAAATGAGTTACTTTGCCATTAATATTGGCCGTATTCTTTCTAATTACAGTATGCGATGCTGTAACAGATGTGGAATTGTGGTTTCTTCACATTGGATTGGATCTAATTTAACGGTGCATTTATTTCCCACAATAGCATCCACAGCTAATGGTTACATTTAATTATTTTTGAATGAGGAGAAACTTGTCTTTGATAATCACTAAAATATTTTAAATTGTGTTCTTTGACACCTTATTGTTAAGACCTGATTTTCCTGTGTTTTGCACAGTGGAGGCTCTGTTCCTGAGATGAAGACGTTATATCAACATGTCAAGATCAATGAAATATCTTTTTTTTTCGATTAAACTCGACAGTAGAAGGTGATCCATGCTTCATGAGCACTTTGGTCACTCTGTCTCCTGGGGGGCTCTCGCTGTGGGATGGAGTGGGGGCACACTTCTTGTTCAGCTGACTGCTGTGGAAAACTTTGTTCAAATGAGCGCCTTCTATGACCAAGAGCCATCATGGCAGCATATCAGCTTCCCCTCAATGGTGAATTTAATTGCAGGCTTTCTTCTGGATATTTGTTATGTCTGAGTCTAGCGGTGTGACTGTGAAGCTGAACAGTCACTTTTGTAATGAGGCTGTTTTATAGCTCTTGTGGGCTTGTATTTTATCACCGTCTGATTGGGGCCGGTTAGATGTTAGCCACTGGATATGTTTTATTGGAATCCGTGGTAAACTTAAGCCGACTGGTCTCCTTTGCATTTGCATGACAGTGCGCTTATTGGAAAACAAACCCAAATGAAAAGGGCATTCTCGATAGTTTCAACTTCGAATAAGAAAAAGAAAAAAATAAGATGCCTTGGATGTTTTGTCTGCAGAGGATGATGTTGCATCTGAATGGTTCATAGGGGATGCTGTTCATGCTCCCTCTCAGCGGCGTCTACGTGGAGCTCTGCCAAACCAATCACTGTCTCATTGACAGGGAATGTGTGGTCGTGGACCCTCTGGATTATGCAAGTTTCAGCTGCATTCCCCAGTTGGTCAGACTGTCCTTCACACACCATCTAACCCCTATGATTTCCCCTATTGTGTGACTTCATCACCGACTCTCCTACCCTGTAGTTAAGTGATGGTCTGCTGAAGGTATTAAACTTTATCAGGGATATTGGCATCATCACATTCATACGGTAAAAGCCTGCACCAGCAAGCTGTCTGGATGTTTAACGTCCTTTGGATGCTCAACGAGGACTAGAGTGGAGCTAAGGAAACCAGATATGGCCATTACTGAAGGAGAAGGTTAACCATTGTGGCAAACCTCCAAGCCACTGTCTCTGCCCATTCGGAGAACCAGGGTTTGTCCTCTCCTCCTCGCTGCCCGCAGCCTCCAGCAAGAAACAGAGGACATTAATCTCCTCTCAACCACACAGCTAATGCTTTATATGTTTTACATGTCTTTCCCTGTAGAATTGCAATGAGTAGGAATGCCATTTAAAAAAACTGGACAATACTGATTGAGTTCTGCTGTCACACAACGTGTGCCACTAATATTCTGGGCTACTCTGCCTCCCTGTGGCCATACATGAGTCTCTGTGTGAAAAGTTTCAAGGCGACAAACTGATATTTTAAGGAACAGAAGGAAATAATTCAAATAATCAACAGCTTGATAGTTAATCAAGTGGTATCATGATTGAAAGGAATTATGAAGGTGTGGTAACGGCCTTCTGATCTGTTTGAACAGGGATGTGATTGCTTTTCCTTAATAAGTCCAGTGGTCTGCTGATGTCAAAAGGGGAAATGTCACGTGATTATAAAAGAGGGGCACGTGGATGTGTATACCAAGCCATAGATATTATATGTTTAAACAATTATAAGTCTTTCCGGCTCTATTGCAACGTGTACCTAAGCCTTCCTCTCTACTCTTTATATTCCAGAGCCAGGCCCAACTTAACAATGGGTCCCTTTCCCCTGTGTGTGCTGCTTCCGATGACGGTGCTGGCCATGGTGGTGGCCGTAGCTGCTGAAGGGAATGCAGTGGACGACGAGTACACCTGGCCACAGTGGAAGGTGCCTCTGGTAAGGAAAAGACGTACTGTGCCTCTCGGCAGCCCAAACTTTTCAGCCCGTCCTCAGCCGGAGCCGAGCGGGACCTGCGGGATAGAGTGTCAGCGTCGTCTTCCCGCCGCCTCCCTGGATGACCTGGAGCAGTTCTTGTCCTACGAGACGGTCTACGAGAACGGCACCCGCACGTATACCTCGGTTTCTGTGCAGGGCCTCAATGAGGTGACCGCCTGGTCCAGCAACGTCTCCTCCAGCTCCCGCCACAAACGCGAGGTGTACGGCCCGGATACCCGCTTTACAATCTCAGACAAGCAGTACTCCACCAAATACCCTTTCTCCAGCACCGTGAAGATCTCCACAGGATGCTCCGGGGTTCTCGTGTCGCCCAGACATGTGTTGACTGCTGCCCACTGCATCCACGACGGGAGGGATTATCTAGACGGGGTGCAGGAGCTCCGTGTTGGTATTCTGAAAGACAAGTCCAGACGAGGGAAAGGAGGCAAAGGGAGAGGAGGGCGAGGAAAGGGCAGAAGGAGGAAGGGAGACAAGGATCAAGAGGAAGCGCAGGAAAGGGAAGAGCAAGGAGAGAAAGGCGGCCGTAAAGGAAAAGGTAAAGGTAGAAAGAACAGGAGTCGGCGAAGTGTAGAATCAGGGAGGCCTTTGTTTAAGTGGACCGGGGTGAAGAAGACCCAGGTGCCCAAGGGCTGGTTCAAAGGGGTGTCCGACGGGCTGACTGCGGATTATGACTACGCTGTTTTGGAGCTGAAGAAAGCCCCGAAGGTCAAGCATATGGATCTGGGCGTCATCCCCTCGGTCAAGAAGCTCCCAGCCGGGAGGATCCACTTCTCTGGCTTCGATGATGACCGTCCTGGTAACCTGGTGTACCGGTTCTGCTCCGTCTCTGAGGAGTCCAACGACTTGTTGTACCAGCACTGCGACGCCAAGTCCGGCTCCAGTGGCTCTGGGATCTACATCCGCCTCAAGGAACCTGGCAAGAAGAAGTGGACGAGGAAGATCATTGGGGTTTTCTCCGGGCACCAGTGGGTGGACGTGAACGGGAACGGCATGCAGCAGGATTACAACGTGGCGGTGAGGATAACACCTCTCAAATATGCCCAGATCTGCTATTGGGTCCACGGGGACTCGAGTGAGTGCCAGGTAGCCTAAGAAAAACACAGGGTCGCCCTTAAACCAGCAAACACTCTCTCTCCACATGGTACACCCTACCTACTCTCCTCCCCCGACAGCTTGCCACCAACTAGGGGCCCAGGCCACGGCCTCTCCTCTTCCTGCCTCCTTTTCACCTCCCTTCCCTCCTAGGGACTCCTGCTACCTACCTTGATCCGCACACACAGCCATACAGACTCCCTGTTGACAATTACAAGAACTCGTCAGTGCATCAAGAGGACTGCGGCTCTTCAGCTTTTTTAATTTATTTGCTAGAAAAAAAAGACAACCAAGAAAAAAACATGTTTTGTATGTACTTAAGATCGTTCAGATCTGCTGTTTAGTTTTATATATATTTTTTAAGATTTCACCCTTTTGGATATTATGTTGGAAGAGTGTAAATTAAAATGTTTTTGAGTAGAGCCCCTGGTACATTCTTCAAGTTTTCTCCGCAACCAATGTAAAGATGACTTTGACAAAAGACCCAGATGATATATGTGTAACTTTGGTTTTACAATTGGACAAGAGAGCGCTATGACATAATTGGTTTTATGAACGTTTTTAATTGATGTAACTGGTGTTTTGCATATTGTTTATCCAGAAATATTTTTGCAACACAAAGAATGTGTTTCTTTTTTTCTCTGTTGTTGCAACGCGGTGAAATGTGGTTTCATTGTTCTGCACATAATTGTATTGGTGCTTATCCAGAGGACGACGTGGTGCTAATTTATGGAATTATAAACCGTTGAGGGGCTTTAGGGAGGACAGGGAAACTTTTCAGAATATATTTTGATAGCCCAGAACTGTAGCAATGTATTTCATATAAGGCGACATACGTTAAATGGAGACTGAACCATTTAATGATTTACTTGAGCTGTTCCGATTTCTCTAATTCTAAAGGTTAATGAGATTACCAAGGAAATATCGTTATAAAATAACAAATTTAAATCGGCAATGTTATATTTTTTACTTTTTTAAGTTTATGTTCCAAAAATGTATGTAAGAATCCTTGTAAATACCAAATACCTGAAATCAACGATGCCAATTGAAGACTACCAACCATTAAACAAGATTACTACATGCGTGTTTGTGTTTGTGATTATCCAAATGACAAAGAATCTATACACTGGTGTGTGGGCACACATCGATGTGAGACCACTACATATATCATCAAATGTATAATTTATGTTACTGTTCAGCTCGAAAAAACTACTAACTCTAAACCACAACTAATATCAAGTCGAGCCACTGGACTGCATGCGTTCATTGTTTTGCTGGGGGGAGAATTTATTATTGGGCCCCCCTTATAATACATATTTGGGAAATAGATTCACCTCCAGATTATGTTGAATCTATGTCTCCATTAAAGCTGCCCTAATGCATATTTTCTATATGTTTAATGAGAGATATCACATAACAGCAATGAACTCTTTGACTCAAAGCTTTGAGCTTCTATCTTTCTAGGCTGATAAAGTTGGCAGCGAGCTGTGGCAAATAGTGGAGCATTTAGCAGCCAAAGCAGTAAAGAAGACCAAATAAAGAGTGAATGAGAGTAAATATTGGATGTATGTTTGTCAGCTGGGAAGAGAAAGAAAGAAAGTGTTGCTCTGTGTCTGCTGAAAGTGTAAATAAACATCTGCTCGCTGGTAATTTAGCCACCAACTTTCTAAGGTGATAATCTGTAAATTCTATGTTTGGCAAAGTCTTCATATTACAAGCAATGCGCCTTGGGATTTGCCAACTTTACCAAGTTGAAGTGTTGGGGTTTAAATTCATAGAGAGCTGCTTCAAACTGACACGTCTGAAATCTTTGCGATATGGAAGAAAATAAATCCTCAGTTCACTCCGTCATTGAATTTATTGCACCTCAAAGGGCTTACATGCACTGGGGCGGGCCATCATAAATAAAACAAATTCACAACTAAACAAAAATACAGTTTTAATAATTCAGTTATGAAAAACGTTTATAATCTCCCATTGTTCTCTCTGAATCATATCAGGTTCAAAAGACCAATTGCTCATTTAGTCCACTGAAAAGACAACGCGCAGCGCAGGCTTACAGCACAGAGCCGCTGGTTACACAGCAGCTGTCCACATGCATGTCAACACAGTGACTGCGTTGTTAGTCTGCAGGAATAGAGGAGCTTTGTGTTAGCAACGACCAAATTAACAACGAACAAAAACATGTTCAGACAGAAATCAACATCAACATTTTTTAATTTATTTGCTTTGAAGATAATATTGTCAAAGCAGCATTGCAGCCGTGCATGCTGTGACTCAGTTCCACAGCAGCGGTTACAATGGGGTTAGTACAGCATCGTGGAACTTGGGGACCCTTCGGAGTTCAGTTCCTGGGCCCCCTTTTGTGTGTAAACAACATACGTTTTGAGGTTTTCAAAAACTCTCTTTTCAAATGTTTCATTGAAGATATAAATTCATTCGTCACATTTGCTAGGCCTCAATGATGCACCCAAAGCCTATTTGGTGAGGAACAGTGAGTGTAAACAGAACCTTATTCGACTGCTACAGTCCTTCCTGCTGGATGTTAGTTGTCTGCTAATCTTAATTAATTTGATCTGTCTGAACGTAGAGTTTAGTATGGCAATGGAATATTGTTTTACACTAAATACAAAAAGGAATCATACTGAACTGGTGTTAGTTATAAAGAAAGCACAGGCAACGGACCGATCCACACGGGAAGAGTCAAACCGCAGGTAGAAACGTGTACAGTTATACTGAGGGCTAGTTTGAGGTTACCTCTCTGACTAGAACTAAAGCAGTTATTGTAAGATATGTTCTTTAATAGCAATGCCAGCAACTATTGACTGCTGTTGGAGGAGGATTATTCTAAGAGAAAAAGAACATGTTTATTTAGCACGGGGCGATGAAAGAAACACACACGAAATAAGTCACAAGTTAAAAGAAATAACCAAATTAAAATGATCCCTTGCTGTTCTGGTATGATTCAGAAGCCCATGGAAGTTATTTCTCAATATACAGTCACCATGTAGCGGTACTTATATTTGTTTCCAAATACTTTCAGAAGATGATGGGAAATAGAAGGATACTCACACGACTTATTACAATTTCATGTCAGATTCACATTTATATTTCTCTTCAACAAACATACAGAATGGAGAAGCATTCCTCCCCAGAGAAATCTATGTACATCAACAAGGAACTTTCTGTAAACAACACACAACAGTTTTCTCCTGAATAAATCGACCGGGGCTTTGTTTACCACTCTCCTCCAATCAGAGTGGGACAAAGAAGAGCTCCTCCCCCTTTATAACACATGTAGGGTGGTAGGTGGGGCTTAGGACACCAAAGCACAACCATCATTCAACACTGGAAAGAAACCTAAACACATACTTTCTTTCACTAACTTTTGTGGACTTTTTTTTTTCTGGGTTTTGCGTGATTTTGTTTAGACAAAAGACTGGTACATCTACATAAGCACTCGGTTGTATTTTTTTGTCATATATATATACATGTATATATATATATATATAATCCTATATGGTTCACTTTCACAATTTGTGCTACAACATGACGCAGGAGAAGGGGGTTGTTGATGGTCGGGTGGAGAAAAGAGGCTCTTATAGTAGCTGAACATCCTGAGATGTTGACAGACACCAGGTAAAGGTGAGAGGACTCTGCTCCAGAGAAGAAAGCAGCTGCAAGATAGAGAACATTTCAACATAAGAGTCACATTTTAATTAATGCAAAGCTGACAAGACAGTCATTTCATTTGTGTTCTATTCCCATGAAAACGGATAGTGTGTTTGTATGGTGCGTATCTTTTTCTAAAAGAGGTTCAAGCACTACACAAACACTCAGAGTCCCGTATGGAGGATCTGGTGACACCGCGCGGTGAGGTCACAGATTGCAACAAACCCTCATTATGTGCTAAGTGAGTAGGAGAACTACAATGGCCAACAGGAAGAGGCCAGTGTCCCTGTCCAGAGCTAGTTTTTGGTTTGACGGGATCTGAGCTACTGTAGAAACAGGATCCCCGGATTACGCTGTATGTCGATGAAAAACCTCTCATTGTAACATAACGAAAACATGTTTCTTAGTTGTTAGTAATCGTACACCAAAGATAACATATTATATAATATCATGTTTCATTTCTCCCAACAGATTGTCCCTCAATACGCAGCAATATACGGTTCGTTAGCACTGAGTAGTTGACACTGATCCATTAAGATTAAAAAAGTTCTGTCACTGTTTACTTCAAATATTCCACTAAAATATGTGGAATAAGTGGTAACGTTTTTAGTCTATGTTGAAGTCATCTCTCAAGCCTTAAACATCGTAAAGGCAAAGACATTTGAACCTTCTGTCCATATCTCAATCACCACAGTACGTGACATACTATACTGCATGTACTATACTGCATGTACTATACTGCATGTACTATACTGCATGTAGCGGTGGGAGCTCTCACTTGGGGCGTTATAAGAAGTCTTTGAGGTTAAGATCTGCCAAAGGGTCCTTTGGCTTCTTGGGGCTCTGGCTTGCAGGTCCTGGAGGAATCTGAGAAAAATAAGAACAAAAAGCATATATTTACAATAACACAAATCTTGCTGAAATGAAATAGAAATGTATTTATTTACCGGTGCTCCGGGCGCAGCTCCAGCCACCCCAGTGTAGGGAGGTCTCATCAGGGGCTGTCCCATCATCGGCTGCCCCATCATGGACTGCCGCACAGGAGCTACCGGCCCACCTGCAGGAGGCTGGTAACACAGGGACAAACCCAGAGACTTTTAAGGGCTATGCAGATTTATCCATCACAATGATCTGGATATTACATATGTGTAAACTGCAATGCACGCTGATGGACATTTGATAAAAGGTTCACTGCTAAATTCTGGAGAACTGCATGAAACGAAGCTCACCATGCCAAAGCCAGGCTGTGCGCTCATTGGTGGCACCATGGCTGCTACTGGGGCCCCAGGAGCTCCAGGGGCGGCTCCAGCCTAGAGAGACACGGGGAGGAGCATGTGTGAATAGTGTGTGTGTCAATAGTGACAACAGCGAAAAAACACTTATTATATCGCCATGTTTATCTTAAATAAAAATAAATGTTCTGTATTAATACGCGGCCTCTCTACTTTACAAAGCACTTTTCCTCACATTCACACGGCGATGAAGACGTAGCTGCCATGCAAGGTCAGTGTCAGTGCTCAATGAGTCACGCAGAGTCTTGCTTGCAGCAAAACGTCTGTTTTGTTTAAGTGTGATGTTAAGGCGTAGTGCGCATGCAGTTCTTACCATGGGAGCTCCAGATGTAGCCCAGCTTGTGGGAGCTACATGTGGCATCCAGTTGGCCCCTCCTGTTAGCTTCTTCTCACTCTGTGGGTCCCTAATGAGAATCAAACACAGGGTTTTTATCCAAAGAAACCCTTAAGAAATCAAACAACTGCAGTAGTCAAGTATCGCATATTTTCCTCTTATAGATATCTGTGGAAAATGTAACTATATGCTGGCTATAATTACACAAAATTCAAACAAAGAAATTAAACAATTGAAACGCAAACTAAAAGCAAATATGATTATATATCATATGATTGCAACATACAGAATTTTTAAAACAAATAGCTCTCTAGGAGCTTTGCATTCACGTCAAAGCCTACACAAGTATCATGCATTAATAAAAGTTACATTCGTACACACTTACTTTTTCTTTACACCAAGGTCTGCACAGAAGAAAGAAAGAAGAACCAGTTACACTTCTATTCCTCAGAAAGGGAAACGACTGATCTCCAGACAAAACCAGCGGCTGTCTACCTCCAATCAGGTTGGCCAGTGACGAGTCCAGGTCTCCTCCGACGGTCTTGGTTGGAGGAAGGGGGGCGGGGGGAGCGGCTGCACTGCCCCCCGCTGCGGCAGCTGCCATGCTTGACGCTGTACTTCCAGTACTGCTGCCGCCGGTGCTCTGGGGCGTTATGGAGGGCATCAGCAAGTCGCCTAATCCACCAAACACTTGGAGGGAGGGTAGGAATGACGGGACATGAGAGAAACAACACGGATTACTAACCTGCTAATCACTAATCTAGTAATCTAGTTAATAATACGAGCAGAGGTGAGATGTGAGAGCAGTCACTACAGTGAAGGGGAAAATCCGGTTGTGACAGTCATCAGCTGAGCACCTCATGCACAATGCAGCACCGAACTGTAGGTCTATTTCAGCATCAGTCAGAGCAACTGCCCTCACTTGTTTACATAGTCACATCTATGGGACTGAACTGGCCGATTGTGGAATAAAGCGTTGGTTTTTAACAAGGTGTCAACTAACCTCTACAGAAGCATTGTGTGGTTTAAAGTTGATTTAAGGTGCATTCGATTCTATCAACTTGGTTTGACGCACCTCCAAAGCCCACGAAGATTACCACCAACACCAAGTGTCATGTTCCGAATATTGATTTTAAACTAAATGTTAGTGAAAACAATGAATTAGATGAATTGTGTCTTTGTGTAGTATTATTTAAAAGCTTTTTATTGATGTTCAGGTCAGATTGTATTTTTTACTATGGGGATTGGCAGAAGCTAAACCCTGTTTATACCCTTTCAGCTAACTATTTCAACTTTAATATTTGAAGTTAACATTTTCCAGCATTAACCCATCACAATAAGCCTCCACAATATTTCCACACTAATTCCTGCAAAGCACTTCAAGCAACAATTTCAACTTTTAATCAAAAACGGTTATTTGTTATTTGTATTAGTGTATTAGTTTTAATTAACGTTACCACTTGTCATTACTTTAAGATAACAATTTCAATATTGTTTTTAGTTACCTATTCATCCATTACTTTTAGCTAACTGTTTAGCTTCAAGTTATATTTCAACTGTTAATCAATAACTTAAAAACAAGTTATTTTTTCTTCTTTCAACTGTTTAACCATTGCGTTCAGCTAAAGTCTGTTTGATGGCTCATAATATAGTAGAAAACCTGCAGACGCGGCAAGAAAAACACTTGGGAATTGTTTCAAGAGGGACAAGCGGATGTAATTGGCGTCAGTAATGATCTAAATCAATCATATCATATATCATATATCAATCATATATTTAGGTATGTAATGAAGAAAATAAGATTTGTTTCAAGCCGGTGGTAGGAGACCCCTGCTCTAAAGGAAAATGAACAACAATACAGTCTGTCTTGTCTCATGCAGGAGACAATCTGGGGTCATACTGCAACATGCAGAGATGCAGAAGGGAAGACGTCCAAACTGCACATGATGCAACGCGCTGCCGGGTGGAACTCACCGGTTACAGATTAGAAGAAGCAAGCAATGACCCAGCAGAGCAGAAGGAGTGTGGAGAGTGGTGAAGTAGGAAATAAATGAAGCAAAAGATCGAGGGTGTGTAGCAAAAAGATACAAATAAGACAGAAAGAAATGCAACAATGAAAGATTGCAGAGAGGTGGGGTGAGCAGGAGGAGAAAGCACAGCATTTGTGAACGTGTGAAAAGTACAAGAGAAGAGATATAGAAAAGAAAAATCATCGCGAGAAGTGCTAAGGTGCTGAGGAGCCGAGCAGAAAACAACCGTCGGATGTATGAGGAGGACAGTGACAGCAGCACAGGTCAATCATGCGATAGTCAGGCTCTCAGCAGATAATAGTTAAAGTAGTTCAGTTTCAATAATCCACCGCAGATGAATGTGCATCAAACAAATTACCTGTGCAAAAATCAATTAATTACTCGTTTTTCAGAAGGCATGACAATGAGATAAATAACCTAAATGAATATAGGAAAAAAAAACATTATAATCCATTTACTTGAAGCATCAAAGCCACCAGAGGGCACCGGTGTGGTGGTTCCAGGGTCTTGTGCAGATGGTACCATTGGTACCGCGGCCGGTACAGGCGGAGCTGGAGACCCGAGGGAGCCCAGGGCATCAAAGCTGGATTCCAGGAGGCTGTTCTGCAGCGGGGCCAAGGCTGGAGCTAGAGCCGGGGCAGCAGTGGGAGCCAGGGTGGGGGACATCAGGCCTGAAGGGGACAACACACAGGACTGTGCTATGCAGCACTGTTTTCTGACTCAGCCTCATTCCACGGGGAACGCTAGCAAATACGATTAATGAAACAACAGATGACACACAAGACGTCTTGGAAGCGAAATTTAAATAGAATTTACAGCATTATCAAACCATTTACAAGACCCAATCTTATCAAGAACAATAAGTGGAATGTATTACAGTATCTGAGCAGGACATTGAAAAGTACAGGAAATAAGTAAAACAATTACCCAATACTAGTAAAACAAATAGATTAGACTAATCAAGACAAAGTCTTGTAACCAACAAAACTCTACGACAACCGTTTACAATAATATCTTCAGAAAAATGTCATTTATATGGATGTATCAGTTAAAGAAGCTTTTGATATTTTATTTTTTTTGATAATATTGCACCATCATTTCAGTATCATTGAATGCAAGACCTTATCATGGAATGGAGTATTTTTACATCATTGTGCTGGTACTGTTCTGTGCTTTTACACAGTGAATGGATCTGTTCTCTTTGACATCCCTTTGACGGACATTCTGCAAACATTTCTAAATGAGTCAGACTCCAGTTGGAACGGGTGTGTAATAAAATGTCCCTGCCAAGTCTTTGTCATTACTCATTTGAGTGCAATTCCGTCATTACTTCCTGCTTGATTTCCTAATCTGCATAAAACATTTCCGTTGGCCGTGAGCGAGCATGAAAACGTTTTGCAAAACTGCGGATATCTAATCACAATTGACTGGTCCCATCAGCCTTTGTAATCCAACCATCATTTCCATAAAGACATCAGAGGAGACTCACCTCCCAGCAGATCGTCTGCAGGCCCTCCAGGAGCAGAGCTCTGCGTCTCCTCCACAGGGCTGCCGAAGGAGTCTGCAGGGCCGTCCAGTTATCCACAACGCAGCATGAGGGGAAGAAAGGGGGGAGAGGTCAGCCCCGGACCTAATGCTGGGACACGGGGGGGGGGGGGCATATCGTGTTGACATCAACAATGCAGAGCTGGTGCTGAGGAGAATTTCTTCCATCAACCACAACAGCCTTGGTTTTAAATGATGAGAGCAGTGCAAGTAGGCGGTTTGCTTTCATATTTCCTATAATAATGGTTGAGCAAGAACATCTCAAAGATGTAATCTGAATTATATCAATTAATGCAACAGGTGCAGCAGAAAAAAAACAAATCTATTCCTGAATTACGACCAATATACTGTCCCATCTTTCCGATAATTCCCATTGTTCTCGAAATAAAGAACTACAACTAAAAAGTTGAATGCAGGTATCTGTAACAAATCTCTCCGTGATCCCACAATATTTCACCAAAGGTGCAAATCCCATGGGGGGTTAAAGTAATTATCTCCTGGGGAAATGTGAACCACTCCATCCACTATGTTGACATACAAACACGTCTCTAATAGTTACTTTGGGAGTGTAGCTGTTGGGTCTAAGATGCTGAAATGACACCTGGAGAATATCCCACCACCGGTGTAAACATTTACTAAATACTTCACTGTATCAACCGAGAAAATACTTTAAGGAGCAGCACGTGCTGCTGTGAAAAGATGTGTGCGTTTGTGTTTGGAGGTACAGCACCCAGCAGGTCAATGACGGGGGCGGGCTCTGCTTTGGGAGGAGAGGAGGCCTCTGGGCTGCAGGCTGCGACGGCAGCAATGACGGGAGCGACGTCGGCGGCACCAGGACCTGGAGATGCGAATGAGTCTGAACAGAGACACGTGCAGAGACAAAAGCAGTCAATTACTCCCAAGTCGGTGCGACTGTGTGACAGTGAGACGTGACAGTGTTATTTCGAAGAGGAGAAACTTTGCTCATGAACTTGTATCCCTGTTCTGAAGGCCTTGCAGACATGCAGAGACCTAGCAGGCATCCCTGCGTCTCCGCTGTGTATCCACAACCTCGCAGCGTGCACCCTTTGGGAGTACAGGACTAGTGTGCATGTGCATGCGGACACCATAAGCTGTGGCTGGCTGCACACTTTGCGGAAGAAGAAATGGAACAGTGGTGATGCGGTAAAGATAAAGCAGCTTAACTCACCGGTCACAATGTCTCCAGGCGGAGGCAGCTCGGGCAAAGGAGACGGCCCGCGTGAAACAGCAGGCAGGTCTAATTGACCAGCGCAAGCGTGAGGCAGAGTGCGAGGAAGAAAGGAAACCATGGAGCAAAGTAAAGTGTTAGCGGGGCAGGTAGAAGGACAGCTTAGATAGAAAGCAGCCACGACGACAATCCAAGAGTGGGTTACATGCACAGATCTCATGCCACTAATGGGGACAAACCAAGACGTGAGGGGGGGGGGGGGGGGGGGGGCATAAAAAACAGTCAACAGAGGAGTGGACGTATGGAAACCAGAAGAGGTGAAGAGGTTCCACACACAGAGAAATGGTTATCGACTCCTGTACCTGCACCAAAAAGGTCTACGCTAGGAGTGGTAGCTGCTTTGGACTCTGTGGTAGGGCTTTGCTCAGGCATAGAATCAAACATATCTAAGAACAAGGACACACAATCAGATGTGCATTCAGATTTCAAGTCCAGTGAACACAGAATGATGGATTAAGAGGAGAGATGAAGGGTTATTAAATGGGGTAAGTTGCTGTGTCATTTTTCAGTGCAATGCAATTATAAACAGTGCAAAATTAAAAGGTTATGTTGCTAAATTTCAGGATGAGGATTCCCGCTGTTTGCACCCGTGACTTTAGATGTGCCTTTGCTCTGAGAGAGCTCTTATTGAAGGCTGAAAGTCTGCAGCCGCATTAGTGGCTACGTAGGGCTGTACATAGTGATTTGGGCAAAATGTTACCGTTAGAGTTCTAACAACAGTAACCGAGCTAAAATACTAATGCTTGACAAGTCATATTTACCAGGTTAGTTTGATGAGTTCAGCCCGTTAGCTTGTTGACACTAGTAAATTAGCAGTAAACACAAATAACACTGATTTAAGTGTCTCACCGTGAAGGCCAAAAACCAAAAGGTTGGAAAAATTCAAATTTGACCGAATGGCGCTAAATGTGAAGTGAGATGCTTCATCCCGTGGGGAATATGAACATCTGATGGCAATCATTCCAACTGTTGCCGAGGCGCTTAAGTCTGGACCAAAGTGGTGGAACGATTACAAATACAAAATGGCTGGAAATGCATCAGTCCGTCCATCTATGCACATCTGTGCAAGGTCACTGGCAGCTGGATCCCATCCTGGCTCGCATTGGGCCAATATGAAAACTGACATTGAGCAAAATTCCATTTTAACTAAAGTGCCAAAGCTAAAATGAAGCATTCTCAGCTGTCAGTATCTAAAACATTGGTCACAAGCGGGGCAAGAAAGCTGGTTTTTCCTCTTATATTTAGCAGGCTGTCTGTTAGTATGGTAACCAAGACACGTTGAGCAACCTCCATTTTTCCCCCCCAGAGGCCAAATTAACACGGAGATTTTGGTCCCCAAACATTAAATAAATACTGGACTATAGTAAAAAATAGCAATTATTTACATGTTTTTTCAAAGTATAAATTTTGCAGAGGAGGTCAAGCTGCTTGATTAACATGATAAAATGATTTATATCTCCAAGAAAGGCATCATGAAAAAAAAAAAAGAACCAATTCTGAAATGTAGGGACTGGGTATAGGAACATTGCCACTACTGTCTTCATCATCATCATCATCACTAGCAAGAGCAACACAGTCATCCTCAGTATCAAAACCTACATCATCATCATAATGCAGGGAAATGCAGTGCGAGGCGTAATGAGAGCGAGAGGACTTTACCACCAAAGATATCTAGAGTCGGAGCGGCTGCAGACTCTGTGGTGGTGGTGGTGTCGGTGGTGGTTGTGGTGGTGGTGGTGGTGGTGGTGGAAGAAAGGGTGGGGGCAGCGGGGGCAGCGGGAGCAGCGGGGGCAGCGGGAGCAGCGATGGGAGCGACGATGGTCGGCGCCTCACTAGAGGTGGGAGGGGTGACGGCGGAGGCCTCTGTGTCGGTGGGCATCATGGCGAACAGGTCCAGCTCTTGAGCGATGGCCGCACTCCCCTCCGTTGTAGCGAAGGGGTCTTCAGGACGAGCAGCACGGGGGAGGGGTTGATTGATGGGGCGGGAGGGGGGGTGTTACGATTAGAGAAGAAATTAAGGGCAGGGTGAGTGGATGAGGAACAGGGAGGGGGGGTGTTGGGTTTGTTAAAACACTGTACAAAGCTGAAAACATACTTTCAAGAGTGAGGATTCAGCACCGAAATAAAAGTGAATAAACAAACTTATTTCTGCTTAGTCATTTATTCTTTTGTGATGCAGCATCTGGGCATCGCAATAACTATCTTGATGTTCATTGTCTCAGTTTCGACTGCTGCTAATGCTGGTATATCATCACAAAAAGCAAAGTACAGCTGAGGTTGATGAAGATGTCTTGGAGGTATTTCAAACCCAAAACCAACTATCATATCCTAATTTAGAATTTAGACCTAATTGCATTGCAACATGGAGCGTCAGGGACTCACCAAAGTCTGTAGGATTCATCCTCTGGTGACCAGGCACGTCTGTACAAATGTGTTTACCAGAGATTTCATGAAGCACAGGAGATGTAGAGGACATGTGGGCCACTTAAGAGCCGTTGTGTATACATTTATCACTGAAAAGGTTAGTTGATGAATAGGAGTTTTTCTGGTTTCCTTTTTATTCCGATTGATACTGGAGGTCAAGGTTGAAAAGAGAATAAAGTAAATGGGCAGGCATGACATCGATCAATGTCCTGCTCTATAGAAGGCAAAAGAAAGGGACTAAATAAAGCTATTGAAAAACATTAAATTAAGAAAAAAAAGCTTCACAATGAATAGTGTGATAATCATTGTGTGTATCAGGGTTTGGGTAACAAAAATGTTACTGTAGTATTTATTGGCTAAATATTAGGAGGAGAAGAGTATTTGAGATGAGGGAGGAGAGGGTTCATGGCATTAAAGCGGGATTTGAGTGAGACAGTAGGCCCTGTTGGCTACTGTCCCCTATGTGAGCAGGAGCATCTTCGATGCAATAAAAGCAACGGCTTTCACATTCAAACACACCAACACACTCGCACACTTGCACACAAAAGCCGTTTTGTCACCCACCAGATCCAGCAAATGCATCGGCAGCAGGGCCCGCGGCGGCAGGACCGTCTCCTGGGGAAGGTGCAAACGCATCTAGGGTATAGCAGACGAAAACAGCGGGAACGCAAAACATAACAACCGACAGACACATGGATGTAAGGAACAAAAGATGAGTAAACATGAACAGGGAAACAGAAATGAGAGGTCAGCATCAGGAAAAAGCAGAGAATACAAGAAATATGCAGCCCAGGTTACTGCAGCGGGAGATCTGATTGGAGCATCAGTCACATGGCGAGTTTTGAAGGGCTGCATAGTGCTGCATTCAATGAGTGCACCACCTGTGCAGGTGTGTGAAATGAGGCAAGTTGTCACAAGTTACTTGTACTCTGTGACAACAGGGAGAATGTGGAGTTCAGGGATGGACAAAGTCCCTCTTTGAAAAAGAAACTCAATCGTTTCTTTTCAGCAAATACCTCCTCTTTTCTTGAGGTTAGCCAGAATGTAAATTAAAAAATCCAGCTACTCATCTTCTTGACATTTTTGTGAAACTGTTAGTAGGTCATTAGGGGAGAATCATTAAGGGTGATGAATTAAAAAAAGCTAAATGCAACAAATTCCCAAAATACCAGTCATAATAGCAGATTCATTATATTGCAGTGGGTTGACCATGCAAGATTATTAAAAAACACAAGTTTATAACTTGTTAATGTCAAACGTAATTTAAATCTTCTTGGGGTAATTATTCAGCCTCGAAACAACCCAGAGAAAAACAAGTAATCCACAATACCGGCTCATATTTTTGCAATTTGTGCCACAAATGATACACGCTTTGCTCTGTGCTCAATGCCTTGCTTGACGGTATGTCAGCAGGTTAGTGTACATGGTTGCAACAGAGCAAGACGTAAAAACGTTCAAAAATGTTAAGTATAGAAAACTATAACATTTGAGTCACAGCTTGACATCACCGTCAATTGCCTGTTGTTCTTAATAGGGGTGTAACGATTCATCCACTGAATCGATTAATCGATTTATATTCCTGCGATCCAACTGAATCGATCTGTGCTCCGCAAATGGGCATTCCGGACGACATCTATCGATCACAAATCGATAGAAATGGTACATAATCGATTTGTATCGATACTTGGAAACTGCACATTGAATTTAAGCACAACAACTGTATGGATGTGTGTGTGTTTTTTAGCACTTTAGAAACGTTAAACGTTACTCGATTCAGTCTGCCTGTCTGTGACGTCATCAGTACGCAGCGGCAGACGCGCGAAACTCGGGACAACAACAAAACACAGCGTGGAGGAGAGCAAGACATTTACAAACCAACTTATCGATCCAGCGCGTGGAAACATTTCGGCTTTTGCAAACACGGAGGTGTTCTAAATAAGTCGTCGCTGTTTGTAGAATATGTAGAAGACAAATAAAAACCACGGAAACACGACGAATCTTTCCGGCCATCTACTAAGGCGCCGTGGGATTAAACAACGCCGACAGTCAGGACCTCTAGCAAAGTTTATCTGTAATGACGTGCGACCCTACAATGATGTTGAAAATCCGGGGTTCTGTGAATTGATCCAAACATTGTGTAATTATTGTGTAATGTTTACATTGAAAATGGCACTTGATTCCAATAAAAGGTTTATACATTTGCCATTAATTGGTGTTGGCTTGTTTATAATATCCATAATTAATTTAAACCTGATTTCCTTACAAGAAACAACAGCGATCTTGGAAACTTTGCCCGCACTGTCCAGTAAAGTTACTGAATCGATTTCAAGTCACTGAATCAAATCGAATCGAATCGTTCTAAATTAACCCAGATCGTCCATGAATCGAATCGGCAATCATGAATCGCGATTCGAATCGAATCGTTGTTAAAATGAATCGTTACCCCCCTAGTTCTTAAGATGTTTTCTCAATCCTTCATACCTTAGTAACTAGATAAAGAAGATTCTAATGCCTGATAGGAAAAAGCGCACCTCTTTTGGTATATATCAGGACATTTCTTTCAAATATTTTATATTTTCAAACAAAATAAACCTGGACATATGCCATTTACTGTAATGCTACAACAAAAATATATTTTTATCGTGCAGCAGACAAAACCTATCCACATGGTAGGACGAGCCTTAAGGTTTCTGGCAATGCCGTCAAACAGCATTATGTATTTCTTGAAGAAACCCATGAGTTGTTTGATCTCTTTTTGAATATCAGATGTTTTCTGACCTCCGAAAAGGTCCAAGTCAGCAGCTGAGGCTGGAGCTGTGACGGGCAGCGTGGCGGGTGCCGGTGTGGCTGCAGCGGAAGTGGCAGTGACAGCGGCAGTGGCAGCGGCAGCGGCTTTGGGTGCGGGAGGTGCAGGGGCAGCCGCTACTGCAGCAGCAGCATCAGATTCTCCCTCCGCCAGGAGAGCTTCAGAGGCTTCATCAGCTGCAGGCGGAGCTGCTATGCGGATGAAGCCCGTAATCCAAACACCACGGCCCAGTTAGAAACCCCCAAAAGAGGGGAACAGGAGGAAAGAAAGATGGGGAGGAAGGCGGCAGTGTGAAAAAAATAGACAGGCTTAGCAGGTGCCAAAAGGTGAAAATAGCTTGACACTAAGACAATAACAATGTAGGGTAGAAAGTCAGGTGAAAATCAAAAGCCTGTGGGAGTTTTCCCTGTTCAGTTTACAGCAGAGTGCTAACAGAGTACTCACCCTCAGCCAAAAGATCTGCAAAACAGACAGACAGAGAGACAGGTGAAAGAGAACCCATTATTTTTACCCATGGAAATGAGCTGATGAAAATTAGACATATTTAATTTGCAAGCTGCCAACTATAGTCAGGAACTGATTTATTAAAAATAATCCAATAGCGCTAAAAGCCCCTTCATTTACTTTTCAGTACATTTGGATTCAGTCTATCAGTGGAGATAAACAGAGAGGACGGCAAAGAGCAACAGCAGCTTTATAATGATTATAATATAGATAATCACAGTCAGATTGTTTCAGCTCATTTACCACAAGTTCCACTTTATATTAGTACCAATAACTTTCCAAAACAGACCATGACTTTGATTTGATCTTCTTGCAGACTTGACTGAGACGCTATTAGCTTCCATTCATTTTACTATGATATAAGACTTGCTCTGCAGGGACTTCAACTTTAATTTTAGAAAATCCTAATGTCCTAATGTCCAAAGATTAGTTGACGACATTAAGCATTTGATGTAATTAATGTCTATCAAATATGCCATGTCATCCACTAATACTTATTCTGTACATACATTTAAGTTTAGGAAAATCAATATCTATTTTCAGTGCAAATAAATGGCTAGCTTTTTTCGGCTCACTAGCTAATGCATTAGCCTAATACCATATTTTTTTATATTTACAAAATAAATCATGTTTGCATCAAATACATCAACCGTGTATAACCCTTATTTTTTACTGAGCTAGTTTAGGATGCTAAAAGCATGTTATCTTGTAACATTTATAGTGAAAAAAAACGATATACTATACTGTTAAAAAAATACAAACAAGGTTCTGACGGAGCTCAAAGTTCTCACCTCCCCATCCAGTCGTGGAGGAAGTTGCTGCTGCACCCTTTGCTGATGAGGATATGGGGTCTAGATCCAACAAGAAGCCATCATCAAGAGCGCTAAACAAAACGAAAGAGAAAGAGAGAGGGCTGATGACGCAGGCAATCCGTTTCGAATGCAATATTAATGCTCAAATATTGATGCAGCTCATTCCACACACTGTAATATTGTTGAGTGACTCTCACTTGCTGATAGGAGTGACGGTGGGGGCTGCCGCGGTGGGGGTGACAGAGGGCGGAGGAGGCTTGGCAGGTGGCCCGGGGCGAGCTGGGGGCCCGCCGCCAGGAGTAGGAGGGGCACGCCTGGCCGGCGCAACAGCGGCAGCAGCTGCCGCCGGCACGCTGTTGTTGGCTGTCGCATCCTGCTGCAGGGAAAGATCCTCTTTTACTTATGTAAGCTGATGTGTTTCAGCAGCTTTGAAACATCTGAATCACTTCCTGAATAACTGTGCTATACGTAAGCAAAGACACGTAAGCAACGGCCATTATTACCGCTAGATCATGATCATCATGAAACACAGCTTACCTTAGTGGGCGACCTGCAAGAACAATGACAGCACATGAGTTAAAGAGTTCAAGGAAGTACATGGTGACACATAACGGCGTATACTGACACGGGAGGCAAAGTGACAGCTTAACTATTACTGCAGGGTTTTTTTTCCAGGCAGGCAGTATTTTAAAGCAATTACACTCAGTACACATGTGCAATTACTGGACCCGCGGCGCACTGCTTAGCAATAGCTAGCATCTCAGCCTCTGCTCCTCCTCAACAAAGCCTTCCTTTTAAACATTGCAGACAGAAAGTGGGAGCTGAACGTTTCTGAATGCATGCGTCTGAAGCTTTGTAAAAGTCGGGGCTGATTGTGCAGAAAAATTATGACAAAGATGAAAATGTTAGTAGTGGCATCGGTGCAAGGCTTATCAATGTTCTTTATGACGATGAGAACAGTGATGCAAATTATGAAAGGTCACAAATGAGAGCATCAGCAACAAAATAAAAAGTATTTTCCATAGAAACGTTTTTTGAGCAAGATAAAAGTTGGCAACAATACAATTGTCAGTCACTTGCTCAGATGTCATTTCTATAAACAATGGTCTAAATATAATTTAAGTCCTTTTCTTTTTGATACTTACTTATCCTCTCTGACCGGAGTAAAGATAGTAATTGACACGGTAGAGGAGTATAGGGGAATAGAAAGAAGATCATTTTTAGCACTCTTTGTAACACAAAGATGAAACAGTCAACAAACCAAGGTGCGTGTTGTACTGCCAAGCTAACCCGAGACAAAATCCCAACGGAAGCATTACACTGTAGAGTTACGGGATTATTGACGCGTCAGCTCTGTGTCACTGCTGGTAAACAATTAAAACGAGAAACAGCTTGCAGATGTATTGAGCTACTTACGGCTTCTTCCCCTCCAGTGTGTTAAGGTGGGTCTCCAGGGACTCCAGGAGACTTTCTGGGGCCTGTAGAACAATAAATAAAGTAAAAAAAGATATGATTTAACAAGGATTGCAAACGTTGGGAATGGTTAGAGAGGAGCGACAGTAGGGCCGGCAGGGATATCGGCTCTAACAGTATAAGATATCCGGGATGAATTTCTCACGCACAGTTCATACCGGTGTTACGCCATGACAACGGACGTTGCTCTTTGGCAGGCGGCAGAATTTATTTTAACACGACATCGAGGAGCGCCCAGCGGAGCTCCTTGTCTTACGTGTGTTGAGATTGTGTTGAGAGTCATGCCTTATGTTGTATACCAACAACCCACAACAAACACGCTGTAACAGGGTAAAACACCACGACAGTGGACCATGTAATCAAATAAAAACGCTGAAGAACTCTAGGAATAAGAGTTCGTATATAAAAACAAAGTGGTTCATCTTCTTCATCCTCAATGACGATAGATGTCAACCAATACTTTCTAATTGCAAAACTAGATGCAGGACCGTTACAGTACAAACAACTGATGCTTTGCTAATTGACAGTTTGATTTGGGCCCAGAACAGGGCTGCTGCAGCAATATTTTTTGAGTACCAACCAAATGAGTCCGTAGCTTTTATAATCCACAATTTAAGCGGGGGATTAATCAGGGTAAACATATGTAACCAGCTGCAGAAAAGAAAACGTGAAAAGGTTTAATCTCAACGCTAAAAGAGGGAACAAAGTTCCAGCCAGTCACAAGGCAAAGCTGCATGCTCGACCAGGAGAAATAGCACGTTGTCACCTGCCGACATGCAGAAAAATAGTTTGTTCGACATCCTCGGGCTTATTAATAGGTCAATGTTAATACAGACTTAAAAAACATCACTACTTTGATAGATGTCTAAAATATGATCTGAAATGACGGACCTAAATCTGCTTACACAGCACTTTCACAAGCCAGTCGGACGGAACAATCTGTCTCGCTTGTGCTGATCTAAATCCTCTAGAAAGCGGTGATGAGAATGAGATTAATTCAAAGCAGTTTGACGGATCTGGAAGACTAATAGGCGTTTGCTCACCTGGAAGCACACAGTATTCATGTTTTAAGACGGGACTCTAAGATACGTAGTTGGGGCTTACAGAGTATCACTTGAACAACTGCACTATGGCTAGTAAGAAAAATGGTATCATCATTCAGAAAAGGTCACTGACCAACTATTATTCAGACTATTATAGAGATTACTTTGCTGTTAACAACATGAAACCAGATTTGACCAGAATTTAAAGTAACAGTATTTTCAACTAACACGGTTGAGGCCAAAATAACTGCAAGACAGTTCTGCGCCGGGATGAACCAACCGGTTTGGCCATTTCCCTGTTTGCAGAGTTTATATTAAGCTGAGTTAATCACCTGTTGGCTCCATAGTACATTAGTGGTATCACTCATCTCAGCTAATACATTTGATCGTTACAGGTTATCAAATCTCTATTCCAAGTAGTCTATAGTGTCATAAATTGCAGTTTGTTCAATTCGGCATGCTCGAAACAATTAGCTTTCTGCAGTGCATTACAGCGCGCCCTGTCATGCAAGTCATCCTTACCGCTACGTCCACGTTCTACAGAACTGTGTTATAGCCGTAGAGTTTCCACAGACGAACACTGCAGTTGCCATTGGATTAATTCAGGAACCAACAGGAGAAATTGGTTCTCTCAGTCTGGGAATCACTTCAAATCAATGACCCAAAATTTAGGAATCAAACAGTTTTTGAATAACCGTCACAGTGAATATAGCTTTTTTGAAAAGTCTCCAGCACACCTTGGGGATAACAATCTGCTGTCCCATGACACAGTACGTTTGACTCAGACATTCAGCAGTGGAAAGCAGCCACGTCAGCAGCATCGCTCAGCACATCACAGCTTCGACTCTCTCAGTCACATGGTCCTGCTCCATCATCAGAGCGGCCCGATGTGTGTCTGCTGCGTGTGCTTCATTCGGGCCGCTCAAAGGCAGTTTCATAATGTTGCCCTTCTCTGAGCTGTTTGCTCCCAAAAGCTAGCTTTGTGCTCGCTACTCACACTCTCGGCCTGAATGATCAACCCGCACCTCTGGAAGTGAAAAGAGAAGGAGGGCCCAGGGGCCGTCAATCACCAAGCAACCACAGCTCATTGGCTGCCGGGCGAATGGGAGTGGAACTTCCTTTTTACAACATCGATGGTAGCGTCACACGACATGCAGCACAGTAAGAAAAAACACGACATTTACATGCTCTTCTGTCAGCGCGTCACCTTAAGAAAAGTAAAAAGCAATAACAACTCACTGTTAAGAAATAATAGTGAGGAAAAGCCTTAGTAGATCTTACCTGAGTGAGTTCAGGTATGTCATTTTTGTCTATTCCCACTTGCTGTAAAAGAACAGAGTGACGTTTCAGTGCAACAGGTACTAAGTAGTAAAATATTTAATTGCTATCAGTAATATAAACTACCTCAGCGATTTTGAAAAATTCTGAAACCCGAGTCATCCGTGTCAGGAATCTTTTGTAGATCTCCAGCCCGTCTTTACACTGGCTTCTCTTCATCTGGAAAAACTTTTCTGGATAACAGAGAAATGCCAAACGCTTTGTTGAATTAAATATGAGGACATTCGTTGTTTGTTCTTTTTGTCAACACATGAAACACATCAACGTCCAGAACCACCACGGAATTGATACCAGAGCTCCATGGTTTTCCACAAAATATTGAAACACATCAACGAGCCAGCAATGTTTATGACTTCATTACTACGAACACACACTGCGGGTCATTGAGTTCAGCTGAACTAGACCAGAGCACCAGATCTCACAAAACAAAGCCATTGTTTGCTTCTATTTCAGTAACATGTGGTAAAAAATACAGACCTCACCTGTTAAAGAAAATAAATTTGAAACTGATAAATATATAGAATATTTGACATATATATTTATGTTCTTGTGGCCCGTTTTTAAAGTATTTATGTCAGAAATTCCATAACATGACTTTGAGCTAAGTGCAAAAGACAAATTAGTAAGGTTTTGTTAATTGATTAATTAAATAATCGAGTGATTATGTTTTTAAAAATTGCAAAACCAATAATAATACCTGTAGCCTTTGGAAGGATAAGGATAGCAATAAAGTTCCATATATTCATCATATGAATACAAGCATTCAGCTGCATAATATGCCACTGTCACCATCATGTTTTTTTACAATAGACGTGTACCGTGGTTGTACTTTTGAACTTTTCTGGAACATCTGGACGCGCTAAACTGCCAAATGATGCCCACAGTACCACACACCTCCTGCGGTATTAAAATGAAATCGGAAAACGCGTGTGGTGACGGCTGCAAGCAAAAGTGTCTCTTTTTGGGAACAAACGGGAATGACTGCGGGCATCGTTGCTCTGGAGTCGTTTCCAGGGCGGGAGAGTAGTGATTCATTACCTAGCAGGTTAATGATGCCGTCGTTGTAGCAGGCATACAACTTGATCAGATCTTTGAAGAGGAGGAGAAAGCAGGCATTTATCACCCCGTTGTTCAGATCCGGTGCTTGCACCTGCGGACGGAAATAAAAGCCAGGATGAACAGAAGGAACTCAAAATGGATTTTAGGCAAACAAAAAAATGTACTTAAGCAGTGATAAAAAAAAGCGACGATACAATTTCAGCTAAAACAGAAACTGTTATCTATAATACTGATGTGGGTCATCTCTGGTAGTTGTATTTTTGTCTAACCCTTCTGTTGAAGTTACAGATACATAATTGTAAATACACAGTGAAGATTAAGACGGCGGAAATCTGCATCGTTCGTGTACATTTTTGTTTCACTGATGGAATACATGGTTCAACCCTGTGAGATTGATCTCCTGTGTTTTATCCCTGCGCAAACACATCAACCTTGTGCAGTGACGTTGTTGCGAGTCACTCACTTCAAAATCCAGCAGCGCGTCGATCTGGCTCTGCAGGGTGGGCATTCCTTTCAACAGCTTCTCCACTGACATGGTCCTCATCGCTCCGTCAGCTCTGACACCGGAAGGGGAGGTGGAAAGAAACAGAACATGTGAGAATTGAGCTGCAGCTCTCAGACGGAATGACGCATAGGACACCTGCGTATACCTCGCACACTTCCCGTGCAATCATCCACCAAGGTGATCTCTATTCTGTATTCTGCAGTTACATCTTTCAGTGCCAGCTAATGTAGCCACGGGGACCTTGAGTCTGCCAGATGAACAGAGCTGTCCGCTCTGCAAGCATGAGTAATAACCCACTCTGTATTCACCTCTGCACTCAGTACGTGCAGTAGAGCGCAACACCGGGACACCAGTGGGATGTATGTTGTTCTGATAGATGTGGAGGGAAAGTAGGAAGGGAGCATGTACGGGTCACGGGTAAACTAACAAAGTAAAAAATCAATATAAATGGTGAAATAGTCATGCAGCTTGGCAGCGTGAGAAATGAATGAATCGTTACCCTTTCTTGACACGACCAAAGTCAAAAGCCATCTGTCTGTAGGAGAAGGCCTTTTCGTTGAGATAGCGGCTGTAGCGCCTGATGAAGGTGGAACTGTCGTAGCCTGAGGAAGAAAAACTCACACGTAAATAAAACAGTCTCCTCTGTCAATTCAGTGCAGAGGGGAAAAAAAATCACCGCCCAAAAAGTTATGTCTTTAATGAAATTGTCTTTTGCTCTGTGAGCCGACTCTAAAATGTGAAAAGTGGAAGTGGATCTCTCAGCTCTTCAACCTTGTTGACATTGTTGTGAGAGCTCCATTGAAAGATGGAACCATACTTTTGTATATATGCTAAGCACAGAGCTAAAGTTATGCTCCGATTAGCTTAGAATAAAGTTCGAATTAGCGGGAAACGGCCAGCATGGCTCTGCCAGAATACATTCATTAGCATCTCTAAAACTTTTTTTTGGTACATATGATTATAGGATCAGGGTGGCGGTTTCCCCCTGTTTCCATTCTCCATGCTAAGCTAAGCTAATTGTCTTTAACAGAAAGATATGAGAGTGAAAGATAGGACAAGGATGGGAGGAATGGGTAAGTCAGGGAGGGAAGACACTCCACCCACCGTGGGAGCCAGTTTTGTCCAGGAAGTTGCTGAGGTTGAACAAGGTGTTTCTAGATGCCAGGAACTGCAGGAATTTCTGCAGGAGAGAACAAATACACGGGGTTTATTTCTGTGCCGAACCCTGATTGTTCAACGGGGGAAATTACTCCAATTGAGGCGAAAAATAGCTTAGTTAACTGATTCTTCATGAAACAGACCCAAGACGACATGGTGCAACACGGTGACAGACCTTTGATGGATAATACATGCCAACAGAACTATATTTCAAAATAACAAAAAAATATAAACTCACCAAATGAGAAATAAACAGGAATGACAGTGACACACAGTTATGAATGAACACAGTATATTCCAGCAGTCATAGCTTGATTTATCTTCAGCATCATATCCTAACACAAGGCTCCATTTTAATGCAGAAAAAAGGCTTTAAGGCTCACAGCCAACTCAGTAGAGCTGTTCGGCACTAAACCTGTGAAAGTGCCTGCAGTGGAAAGTGGAAAGAAAGTGGAATTAACATGAGAGGTGTAATTCTAAGCCGGTCTTGGTTAGAGAGACATCCAACAATAAAGGAGCAATAAGGCAGGCTTTGTCGGTGGGAGCGTGTGAATATTATTCAGACACCTGAACATAAATACATGCCATGCACATGCAAACGCACACACACACAAAATACTATCCAGTGGCTGCAATTACACATAACGGAGCATTCTAACATAAGGGGAGCACAAGAATGAAAAATCCTGCCCTGGATTGATGGTGCGGAACAATTTACTTCCTTTCATTCTCTCTCTAGAGCCAGTACTCATACTCTCATTATTAGGGACACTACAACAGCACAGCCCCGTCTGAAACATACCACTCCATCACATTATTCTGAGCGTATTGGTGAAACGTGTGTCCCCATAGCAGCTCATGGCACCACAATCGTCTTTGCATCGACTGCAGAGGTTAATTCTTCATCACTAAATCGCTTCTGCTCCCCACCACATAAATGTGAGGGCCATGCCCTGATTGTGACTTGGGATTAGTATTGACGGTAAATGAATAACTAATGAGCTAAGGCTTGAGCTCACGTTATCTACTACAGCAAACTCTCTCATGCTCTTTGCCACTGCAGAACACATTCCCTCCTCTTTCTCTGGCATTGTCTCTCTGGGTCTCTCACTGTCCCTCTCTCGTCATCTGCAACTCAGTGGTAGTTTGGCGTCTTTGGTGGACTGTAAAGGAGCATCGCTATATCTCTTTTGAGTTGTCCCCGGGTGCCCATTCAGAGCTTCAGCTGTCAGGAGATACATTGGGTCGCAGGGTCAGGACCAGGAGCAGGAAGGCCAGTCCCTTGCCAGTTCCATGTCTGCTGCCGAGGTCAACATTTACGACCATGCAGCTAGTATAAAAATGTAAAAGTGAATGTGCAGAGAGGACATGGGGCGTAATGCCAGTACCTCACAACAGTTTTCTGTTTTAATATATTATTGGAGATTTGAGGGCAGGGTTAGTGATCAGGCAATCAGTTTACACATCCAGCAGACAGAAGTGCAGCATTAACTTTCACTTGAAGACTTGTACGTCTCTTCAGCTGATTCATTCACCGTTTTGCTCTATTTTGGTGTCTTCCAAACCCTGAGGACGTTGTCTGCATCCCTTGTTTGCTAAATGCAGCTATAGTCGCTAACGGTCGTCTGCTGTTTGTTGCTATGCGGTTAGCGTATTAAAAAAAACTCAGGTCTGGAAATCTAATCACTAACGAGGGTACTGAGAATGAACCTACAGAGGTAAAAACTGAGAGAGTAAAACCAGACCTATGAACTGAGGAACGCTAACATATCTGAGAGGATCTGAGTTGGGTGATGATTCTCTTTGGGTTAATCCTAGTTACAAATTATGTTTTTACTTTTATGAAATTATGAAAAATGCTGTTTTAACGGTTGGAAAAATCCACTCATTCCACACTATGACTACTATTTTGTATGTTCCTTATATAATAGTTCCAGATCTATTTAATTATGGATGCACACATCCCATCATCTAAACAACTGAAAGTCCTGTGGGTTTGATTATGGTTAGAATATAAATAAATATTGAAGATATATATATATATATATATATATATATAGCGTTCCTTATATGCTGTTATCTCTACCCTTTTACACTATAACTTACTGCATATGCATGCCAGTTAATCTGTGCTCGTGCATTTGGTGTTTTAGAGCAGGACATATGCGTATCCAGCACTGCCCTACTTTACAACTGGGAGCCACAACCGCACTATGGTGGTGTTCAGCGGGTCAGCTCGGGGGAAAATCCCTTACTCATGAGTATCTAAATACTGACCCACTTCCCCCGACTGTATTTTCCAGGACATCTAAACCAGCAACCACCATATGCGCTCAGGGCTCGTGTAATAACAGCGCGTTGTAACCTCACCTCGTTGCCATTCACCATGAGGTGATGTGTGGTGATCAGGGCCTTGAAGACCACCACCCAGCTGGCGTTGCCGACCCTCTCCATCAGAGTGTCTGCCATCTGGGGGACGTTCACATTGGTCTCCTGGGTGGCCTGGATCAGGTCTGAGAAGCATCAGGGAGAGGAGAGACAGAAGGTCAGATGGTGGATATTAGCAGCAGGGAAGAGACTCGGCTCTGCTGCGGCGGCGGCACGCCGAAACCCTTTTATTCAAGTGATGATAGCAGATGGGCGAGAAATGGCAGACAGGATTCGATGCGGTGGTACTGGGTGTGGGCTTTGCAGCATTTCCAGCCGCACTCACTTGCATCCTAATTTTCTGTTTCATACGCGCAGTGCAGTTTCCTGAGCACATGAAATGAAATTAGAAATGTTCACGTGTTCGGTATTAATCCACCTGTTTTAAAAATGTCACTCCAGCAGCGAGGTGCTCAGTCTCCTTCTAATACCTGAACCTTTTTAGATTTGGAAAGAACTGTCAGCTTGCGCAGGGTGCAATGTGTGTCTAAATCAGATTATTCAGTTATCATTTTTCGTAAGTAGCACACTTGCTGCAAGCAGGAGGGGCTAGTTTTAACACTGGAGGCTGCCGTTTTCCATCTTATTGAAATGTGATTGATGAAGTGCATCACATTACATGAGCAGTGCCTGGTGTGAGTGAGTCACACTGGCTCATTGCAGCACAGGCAGAGAACGAGTGGAACACGTAGAGAAACTGTCGTGACCAAAAGGGAAGAAATGATTGCAGTGTGAATCACAATCAGCCACAAAACACAGACGGCGCTCGATGGAGCGACCTGTAATATAGCACCACCTGCAGATGATTGACTCTATAAATCCACATATTTCATTCTATAATGATGAATAAAAAATAAGGGTAATATTGCAACTAAAACGATCTGCTAATGGGACGGGTTGTCATGGATACAACTGTCCTGTCAAATAATCTCTGCAAATGTTAAGCTGCATAACGGGACACCGCCTTAAAGACAATTTCTTCTTGACCCCTGCTGCTACCCTCAGCTCATTTTGAGGCCTTCTAGCCTCTGCAAGCACATTTTCCTGGTGTTACGGCGGATGGTTCATCCGCGTAAGTTCCAACCACAGCTTGCCGCTGTTCTCAGCGTTAAATCCACACTACTGACAGACAAAGCGAATTTGGGTGAGTTTTTATCAGCTAATGAGACAGATATTTTTGGGGGTGAGTTTTTCCTGTGCCGATGTGAGGGTTTCGGGACAGAGGATGTCGTATGTGTACAGACTGTGAAGCCCTTTGAGGCAAATTTGTAATTTGTGATTTTGGGCTATACAAAATTAAATGAATTGAATTAAATAGATATTTCAATTCAGCTAAAAGGAGAGCAAATATTACATTTGTTGGGAGGCCAGAGACACGACTCTAGAAATGCTAATGTCTGCTGGAGATGTTTGTTAACGTGTTTGGTGATATGTGTCATAATTGGTAGATTTTACACAGATGCTTCTGCAGCCCACAACTGAATGAATGCTATATATGATACAAATGTTCATTTCCTAAAGCACCATTGAAACTGAATAATAATAATTAGTAATTGAGCTTCCAAGTTGACCAAGGGAGCGAGAGGACCAAAGGCTTTGCAAACATTCCTAACACCACAATGCAACCTCCGAGTCAGTGAAGCCAATGTGGGAGTCCCTTAAACTATCACTTCTACCGGCCATCAGAGGGCAACTCCTCTAGTTGCCAAAATAACTTCATTTGTATAGAAGTCTGCTATAAAAGGGCTATTCTTCTCACTTGATCTATTGCCTCAATCCACTGGCAGATACACAGGCCGGCCTCCCACAGCACACCTCAGGGCACTTCTTCAGTCAGTACGGGGAACATGAGGGAAGTAGCCGTGCAGTGACTGACGGAGGGGGAGTGAAATTATGACCAGTGTCATTTTAAAAGCATTGATTCAGCCGAGCAGGGCAGATGCAGAGCTACTTGTGTGATTCATTAATCGTGTCATATCCATCCTGCGTATTTACGGCCAGCAGAGAGCTGCCTATTGGATTTTCTTCCCAGGCGAAATATAGACAAAATGACGGCATATCTCACACTCATTGAATAATATCGGGTTAGTTTGAAGTGTGTGTCACATACAAATGTGTCAGAAAGAACAATCTCACCATGGCAAAGCCAACAATCATTAAAATCAAAATGCCAGTACTGTTATCTTTTACTACTATTCTACTAACTTTGTAGTACTACGGTTCCCTGATAAAGACACAAAATATCAAATGAAATATGGTGCATTATTATTCATTACACCTCCTAGAATAATTGACTGAAAGCTCAACAAACGTTAATTAGATTTAAGTAGCCTACATTGTCATTTTAAGTAAAAAATGCAGGACTTTTACACTAGTATGTTTATAGCTTCCATTTTTACCATCAATAGTCAGAAAACAAGTTATGAGTAAACATCCTTCTTCTTCTCGTCCAACATCCCCAGTTAGGGAAGCGGTGAAAAGTAAAGCAAACTGTAATTCACCTGAAGTGCTGAACCCACGTTGCTGCTACGCGTGATCGGACACGTCGGTTAAAGGCGCATACCTGAGGTGGTTTCCATACAGGGGTATTCTTAATGTGATGAGTAGTTATCAAGTCAAAATAGTGGCTGTTTGGATCACATGATTGGCAGTGTGGGATTCATGTCATCCATGACATGAAAGGAAAACTAGTTATTATAAGCACTATTCAGGAAAATGGTCCAATTATTTCATCTGCTCTATAATTCATGTCGCTGTTACCGTGAATACATCAAGTCCGATTGCCCGCGGTGGCCGTGGTTGTCAAGGGAGGAATGGTCGTGCAAAAATGCATTTAAGGTCACTTTGCTCTAACAGTCATGCGACAAGTCTGCTCAGGCTTCAGTTTCCTCCATCACGCTCCCATCATGCTCCCATCACGCTCCCACCATGCTTCTATCACGCTCCCATCATGCTCCCATCACGCTTCCATCATGCTCCCATCACGCTCCCATCATGCTCCCATCACGCTCCCATCATGCTCCCATCACGCTCCCATCATGCTCCCATCACGCTCCAATCATGCTTCCATCACACTCCCATCACGCTTCCATCACGCTCCCATCACGCTCCCATCACGCTCCCATCACGCTCCCATCACGCTTCCATCACGGTTCCATCATGCTTCCATCACGCTCCCATCACGCTCCCATCATGCTCCCATCACGCTTCCATCATGCTTCCATCACGCATCATGCGGTGATAACTGCTATGCACGTCCTCTTCAGTAGTAAGGCAGCACATGCACACACACAAAGGGAGAGAGATAATCCCTATCAGGAGGATGAGTCAGCAGCCTGCATCGTCCTACGCTTTTCATCTCTCCGTCTGCCCGTCTTTCTGTCTGTCTCTCTCTGTCTTTCCTGCAGTGAAGGTGAATCCTTTTGCCAGACTGTGAGACCAACTGAACCGTCACTATCGTTGAAGATCTATAGAGGCGGTTGATGCTGAATCTACTGCTGATAATGTCCAAGTGAGAGTGCAATACACATGAATGTAAGGAGATTATAGCTGTTATTCAAGGGGAAGGGTCGGTAGCTGTTCCACTGCGCTTGTCAATCAGGGGTTTCATACTCAGAAGTTGCTTTTCTTTGTCTGTTCAGCTATGACGACCATTGCTGCTCAAAATCAAGACTGATCACAGGAGGATCCTATTGAGTGCTCTGAGCCGTACAAACGGTTCCAAACAATGACTGTGTCAGGGAACCGATATTAGCGTTAGAAAATGTGCTGGATAGAGTTTGCTCCTACCGAGATGCTGGACTGCAACTCAGCAGGAACTCCTGACTCACTCGTCTCTCCCCACTTTCCTTCCGAACTATTCATTATGTGTGAGCAGCTTAATACGAAGCCCTTGAACACACCGAATAATAATTACAGGAGTTTAACGCTTGGTTCGCTGTTCTGAATGTTACAAAATACAGCGAATTGTATCATAAATACGTTATTGCCTGTAAGTACTGTACTAGATGTGCAAAAGTAAAAGTAATCTAGATCTGTACAATTGTTTTAAGCGACAGGGAATAAACCCTGAACTCGGCAACTTCCTTAAGATTCATGGAGCCCTTTTTAAGTCTTTCAGCTCATACTTTGATTTTTCACAACGCGTTTTGAGTCTCTCACCGACATCTAGAAGCAGAAGACAGGAAAACTCAGTTGGCCACAAATGGCAGAGGTCATAGTGACCAGCTGAAGAAGGCAGCTTGTAGTTCTCACTACTAGTTATTATCAGTAGCTGGTAGTTAAGCACACTCAGCTAGCATGACAACGTGATCTCCAAATCCTGTTCGTAAAAATGTATACGAAATATTTGACATAGAAATTCGTAACAATACATAGGAACTGGCGGTGGTTAACCACGCCCCTTGAGTGAACAACATGGCGGACCATGTTGGATTCTTGAGTGAATGTCTCTCCGCCATGTTGGATTTTTTGAGGGGGTTAGGGTTAGTATTCTATTCTTACAATTTAACATTGATTTCTCGTTAAAAATGCAATCATAACACGTTTACTTTACATTGTTAGACTTCACGAAGTGTGTTTACGGGGTGCAGGTGCCCATTCACTGAATAGGGTGACGTCATCAGTTGCAGTCCGTATTTATTTTGTATGTATCACTACGAATTTGTATGTTCAAGATTTTCGCATACATTTTTACGAACAGGTTTTGGAGACCAAAAACAGAGATAAAGGACTGAATGATTGACCATGCCGGACACAATCAGTCCTAACATTACAATAGGAAACAGTTTCCAACGCTGCCTGCAGTAACCCCAATTTGAGGTCCAGTTGATTAAGAGGCATAAATACGATTGGTGTAATCAAATAAATAGAGGTAGCAGATTAATAGCTCCAACATCGACTCCATTCGGAAAAAGGCCCGGCAGAGGATGTACTTGTACTCTACTTGTACAGAAAGTACAACCTGCCTCAGGAGCTGCTGATTCTTTTCTACTCCGCCACCATCCAGCCTGTCCTCTGATCCTCCATCACTGTGTGGTTTGGATCGGCCACCAAACAGGACAGAGCCAGACTACAACGGACTGCC